CGTGCTCCCAGGGGCGGGGCCAAGGCCGGTGCCGGAGCTGGCAAGGGTACGCGCGGCGCCCCCGGGGCCGGGACCGGCCATGCGCCCGGGGCTGGCACCTGCCAGCCCAGATTGCTCTGCGGGCGCATGTAAAGAGCCAGGCGGGCGCCATGGCGCCCACGGGCACCGGGTTGGGGACCATGGTTCTAAGGGATAGTCTAAACATTCCAATAAATTATTTGCTATAGCTCATAAAAAAAATGTTGAGTAGCAAAACTAACCTTACAGGAGTAATGTGAGGCACATGTTTCTGATGTCCAAGTGTTTGGCTGGAGGCATTGTTAAACCGAGCAGTTTTGTTCAGAGGATTTGCTGGTAAAGGCTTTTGAGGAGGGCTTGGTTTGAGAGTTTCCTAAAAAAGATAGCAGATCATGTACTCTTTAGAAACAAGATGGAAAAAAATACCGTTGATTTTTAAACATAATTGTTTTAAACTATTTTATATGCCATACATCAAACACATGGCACACAATGGTTTCTTGTCTTTCTATTATTGCTCTTAAATGCTCAGAGAGGTACATTTTAATCTTACAGGATCATATACAAGGCTCAAATTATAGTATGTAATTTTCACACTTCGAATGTAATTGAAAATTTCCAAATCTTTATACAGTATTGCATATTTTTAGAACCATGGTGTATGTGCTTATGCCAAGAACCCTTTAGATAAAACTCACTTGTAAATTTCTTATTGCAAATTTGGTAATTCCTTAATCTGTATTTTGGACTGTGCAACACAGTGTTCCCTCTAAAATGCACTGCAGCACAGCTTCACAGGTGGTTTATCAGCCCCGCCCAGACAGAGGCTTAGGGCTCCTTGCACAGAGCTGACTAACTGGGCGGAGCTGATTAATCACCTGTGAAGCTGTGCTGCCTTGCAGCTTGGAGGGAACACTGGTGAGACATATTCTGCCCTCAGGCTGATGCGGTACAAAAGAGAGTAGTTTATGGGGGGAGAGGGGGGGAAAGGTAACAACAGTGCAATTAAGTCAAGGATGAATTGAGTCCACTATGACCATATATGTTTATAAGGGTGAACTGTAAAGATATTTTTCCATAAATGAGCTACTGTTTTTATTATCTTATGATACATAAAGAAGACTGTATAGGCTTTTTCCTTCTGTTTATTTTTACTTCAAAATATAGAGAATAACAAATCTGATCTTCTCTGCTTTTATGGGTGAACTTCCAATTGGTGTCATTGCATATGTATTCTGACCTTACTCCATTATTGAAGAAGCAGTGATGTTTAAAAAAAAAGACATCTTTTGTCCAAAATTATAATTAGTCATTGAAAGTTAGGTGTCCATGTAAAACAAAGTTTTAAACTTGACTAAACATCCCCTCCTTTTTCAGTTCTATTTTCATTTGTTTAACTCATGATGTCATAATTTCACTAGCTCTCCAGGCAGAGTGCCTTTCAGAGCCTGAATTTCTAGTATTAAACTATTTTTAAATGCAAACATATTTTTTTAATTATTTAAAGAAACACTTTCAGGTCTTCTTTACACATCAAAATGAGAAAAAATGCAAGCTCAACTTTTATTTTCTTATAACCCTGTTCCTCTGCATGTCTAGATGTAGTTGCATCCATTTGCATATCCAGGTCCCCAGAATGAGTTTCTACTATCCATGGTTTCCAGGCGCAGTGCTTTTGCCCTAGTCAATTTATACTTACTAAAATATAAAATATAGTAAATACATGCAAGGATTCCTGAAGGAGATGACAAAAGCAGAAATGACTTCAAAATGTAAATCTTAGATGACCCTAGAATCAAATTTCCTGATTCCAGTTTGACTTGTCAGCATTCATGGAATTGTTATAAATGCTGCTGAAATTTCTTTCCGCCAAAAGAATTGTGGAATTAAGTAGTTCTTTAATACAAAACAGCAGTAAGCTTGCTGCAAGGCATTAATTAATGTCATTACTGTGTGGTCCTCAAGCTGGTGCAAAGATGGTAACATTGTTTTATTGGTCTTAGGAAGTAAAAGAAAACAATGCTTTGTTGCAGCTTATGATGCAAAAAACTACCACCAATTAATGTTGTTTGTAATTTGGCATGTGTCCAGCTGAGAAAAAAGGATTTTTGAGCACCAAATATCAAGAGTAATTCCAGAATCAAAAACTTCTAAGTGATTTTCAGTTAGTGTGAACTTAATGAATCTGTGCAACCCGGGCTTCAACCATACAAATTAATTTACTAAATGTTTGTTTATTATAGAAAAATTAAAATGTGTGTTAAAAATAGCTAGGTGTCTATGGACTTCTTTGCAATAATATCTGATCATCTGCCGGATAATGAATTTATCCATGCCTCATCCCAGCAATGTTGGGAAACATCCCCAATTTACAGAGAAAGGCGGAAAAAACTTGAAATAGTCTGGAAATTGACTCAGCTCTTAACCACAGAACCCTCCTTCCTCTTCAAAATTCCCCTAATGGTTTAAAGAATTGAAATTTACATCCAACTAACTCCCCACTACTAAAAACAGAGCAAAACACACAAGTATAGTTGACTAAATAGAAAAAGAGCAGTTTAGACAGATACTAAAAGTTGGGAACCAATGAAAAATTTGACAGAAAATATTAGGTGCCTTCAGTATTTTTTTACAAAGAGATACAGAATATTCATGATTTGTTTAAGAATCTTATTTTCAATATAAACATTGCACTTTCAAAAGGAAATGTGTAATGGCCACTACTGAACCTGCTGGTCACAAAGAAAGAGGAAGCTGAACTTTGGGTAAACTCTGGATTCAGTCAGCTGAAGTTTAGAACAGTTTCAGTGTTTAAAACTAAAGTTTTTTGTCTCTCCTCTCCTTGCTTGCATTTACTGCATAACAACTACTCATGCTGTGTGTGAGAATGACAATATGAAATACAATTCTTCTTCTGTTTAACTTAACATAGTAGTCAAATTTCTCAGTCCATACAAGTCCATCTTGACCATCAGCCAAAAGAATTTTGATCCCTTAACAAGTTCCCCCTTGATTAAAAAAATAAGAACATCCCTATCTTTTATCAGGAAAATATGAGGGATTTTGCAAATATTCATGAAGTAATCAGCCACAGTGGGGAAAAAACAGCAGTTTCTTGTAAATATATTTCTATGTGATAGGAATATAATGATGAAGTTTATGGAATCAATTATAGAGAAGAGCAAATAAAATTGTTCAAAATTTGGTAATTTTCAGTGGATATAAAATGTACAACCTGAGTGACAAGCATCCTTGCTATTCAAATAAACTACGGTGATAGATTTCTTGAGGAATAAATTTTCCATGTATACATCTGTATTTAAAGTATTCTATGCCATTTTGGAATAAGGAAGATTGCAACTGAACTATATATATGAAACAATGTTTGATTATATGGAATTGCCCCTTAGTGACATACTACATTGAGTTATGATTATGAATATTGGTTCCCTAAAGATGTTTTCTTGTTTTAATCAGTAATGGATTAAAAAATCTGGCCCTTTCAATCTGGTTGGCACATCAGAGACTGTGCACAATTTTATTATATCGTATTTGGTTGCCATTAGTCTTTTTTTGCTAAAGCGTTAATGACAAAATAAATAAAAATCAGCATTATAAAGATGGCGAGTAATTACAAAGAATTTGGCCTTCTTGCATTGTAAAATTCTGTTCCATTTCTTGTCTACAGTAATATGTATGGGTATGTCTACACTACCCCGCTAGTGCGAACTAGCGGGGTAATGTATGCATACCGAACGTGCAAATGAAGCCCGGGATTTGAATTTCCCGGGCTTTATTTGCATAAGCCGGCTGGCGCCATTTTTAAATGCCGGCTTGTTCGAACCCCGTGCCGCGCGGCTACACGCGGCACAGGCTAGATAGTTCGGACTAGCAAGCCATTCCGAACTATCTGTACGCCTCGTTCCACGGGGCACGGGGCACGGGGTTCGAACAAGCCGGCATTTAAAAATGGCGCCGGCCGGCTTATGCAAATAAAGCCCGGGAAATTCAAATCCCGGGCTTCATTTGCACGTTCGGTATGCATACATTACCCCGCTAGTTCGCACTAGCGGGGTAGTGTAGACATACCCAAAGTGATCTCCTTCTGCAAGTACCTATGCATGCAATTAATGTTATTTAGAAGAGCATTGTAACTCATCTACATAAAGTTACTTATTCACTTGTATTTGGAGGCGGAAGGCCCTAAGGAACATTTTTATTTAGTTGTACATGGTAATACCTAGATGCCTCACTGAAGATGAGGATCTGAGTGTGCCATGCACACTAAAGAACAGACAGTCCCTGGCCTGAAGAGCTTACAATCTAAATGGGCAAGAGCGACAAAGGGCAAGAAGAAAGGAAGGTTACTATTTTCATTTTAGCTATTCAAGTGGCAGCTAGCTACTATTTCACATTTCGGCTACAGCGACACTGTAGCCTTCTTGAGGAAAAGCTTATGCAAATGAAGCACGGTGTGGAATATTGATGCACTTCATTTACATAATTAATTAATTAGCTGTGTAGATGGCTCCTTTTTGTGCAAAACCCGGTAGTTAATTATGCAAATGAAGCATGATGATATTTCATGCCATGCTTCATTTGCATAAGCTTTTCCACAAGAAAGCTACAGTGTAGCCGTAGCTTTCTTCTCCCTTGGCTTTCTACTAGGGCTACATCTACACTGGCGTGATCTTGCGCAAAAACTCTTTTGCCGAAGAGTACTTCTGCAAAAACTCTTCCAGAAGAGAGCGTCTACACTGGCATGTGCTTTTGTGGAAGAGATGTGTTTTTGCGCAAGAGCATCCATGCCAGTGTAGACACTCTTTTGCGCAAGAAAGCTCTGATGGCCATTTTAACCATAGGGCTTTCTTGAGCAAGAAATTCATGTTGCCTGTCTACACTGGCCTCTTTTGGAAGAGCTCTTGTGCAAGAGGGCTTATTCCTGAGTGGGAGCATCATAGTTCTTGCGCAAGAAGCCCTGATTTCATACATTAGAACGTCAGTTTACTTGCACAAGAACATGCGGCCAGTGTAGACAGGCAGCAAGTTTTTGCGCAAGAGCGGCCGCTTTTGCGCAAGATCATGCCAGTGTAGACACAGCCTAGTTGTACTTTCCTTTCCCCTAGCAATTCCTGCCAGTCCACTAGTAGGGAATGAAACTGCTTACTGCATAGCCAAGGGGCAGAAAACAAGGACATGCCAGCACCTATGGAGCAGATCATCAGCCTTTGGACTTGCCACCATGGGAAAATTATTCCAGAATAGTCATTCCACTCAAGTGTCTTTTCTGGGTTTTAGCCTAATGCACATTGGCAGTGGAGCTTGATGAGGAAATATGAAAATGGACTGAGCTGCACTGGAAAGAAAAGGAATATTAGGAGTTATTTGGGAATAACAAATACACTTGTAATTCACATAGGGTCTTATTCCTAAATATCTTCCATATGTAGACAAGCCCTTTATCTTTTAGGACCAGGGTGGATAAAATCAATGTTTTATTTATCATCACATTTTTTATTTAAATCAGATTTTTTTTTATAAAATGCTTTTTGAGGAGAAAATGTATCTAAGGATATTTTTAATTAAGATACATTATAGCTCAAAAATATCTCATCATGGAATAGGGATTATAAATTCTAAAGTATGAGACAATATATTCATGTAATGTTTAAGAACATTTTTTAAAATGAGTTTCAATAGGCACCCAATCTTCCAGAGGCTTCTGTATGAATTATTTAAGTTAATTATTCTATCTATCTATCTAATAGGACTAAGTGCTCAGTCTAGAAGATACTATTAGAGATGCTTTGTTTTTCAGTTCTCAAACTGTGGATTTGTGTTTCTACAGCTAAAATGCTTGTCAACTGCAAAAACGTATTTTAAAAAATACATAATTATTAGAGATGAAAGAGAATAGATCTAAATCCTATTGGCCGCTTTGCAAATTTGTGTACAGTGTCAGTCCCTTACCTCTCTCTAAAAGTGCAAAGCTTTACAAAGTTCAATGAATAGAATATTGTTGGGGCAGAATAGATATGAACAAGGGGAAGTCTGAAGACAGAAACGGAAGTAAAACTATTTGAGTAGCATATTCCAGAATCTTGAGGTCTTTCTGAGTATAGCTTTCATCGATTTGAGATCTACCATACCATTATCTCACTAGAAGGGAAAATCTATAATGGCAGCAGGCTGTAAAAAAGATCGAGTTTGGGAATATTTTAATAAAGTTCCTCCACCTATGGGTAAGACAAAATGCAAACAGAGCAACAAAGAAATACAAGGCCTGGTTGCCTGAATGAAACAATACCATGATAAGTGTTCCTTCTTAAGAGGAAGCTACGTTGAAGATGATGAATGGCACATATCTGAACGTGCAGGATCATCAGGTTGGTAAACTATTTTATTTCATGCATCTTTTTAAAGGACTGCCTGTCTTCCATCTAGACTATTATTGAATTATTATGTTTGAGGAAAAAAATAGATGTTACTCTGATATTATAATTTTTGATGCAGTTGTGATAAAAAATAAATAGCTGATATAGGCATAGCTTCATTTTAAAATTACCCCTTTAAAGTAGTAATGTGTGTCAGTGAAAGTAATGAGTAATACTAAATGAGCAGTATGGCGGTAATAATTAAATAACTCCACTGACTTATTTTGTTTAGGAGAATCCATTCTCAACATACAGGATTCCAAAGACTATCCATCTTCAAGATCACCAACATTTTCTATAGTTTCAGAGTTAGCTGTCAATGATAGGATTTCAGTCACATCATGTATGTCACATAGCCACAGTAGCGAAAAGAAAAAAAAATCTCCATCATCCAGAAACAACCATAGATAAGTTGGTGATAAAAACCAGCTGATTACAAAAAGTGGTAACTGATGAAAAAATTGCCCAGTTTGTTGCATAAACAAACTCTCCTTTTCGTACGATTGAGAACCCACATACCATTAACATGGGTCAGTCATTAAGACCAAGATACAGTCCTCCAAACAGGGCAGATGTCACCAGCAAATTGCTGGATATAGTTTATGGAAGAGAAATTGACCAGTGTGCAAAATGTCTAAAGGGTAAAATTGTTAACATGAGTCTTGATGGGTAGAGTAATGTCCACAATTATCCTGTTGTGTGTGCTTATGTGTCAACAGAACATCAAGAAATGCTCACACACCAGAATATTTACCAGAAGTACCAATAAAAACTGTAAGAAACTGAAAAAAAATCAAATGTCTAGTATGTAGCTTTGTCCCAGACAATGCTACAAATGTATCCAAGAAGAGAAGAAATTTAGAAGAGAGTGAAGCGTCCCAAGCTAATAACATATGGTGGTGCTGCTCGTTTGAGGCACCTCCTAGCCAAAGATTTCGGTGTTCCAGAAATAAAGGTAAATATTGAAATTGCAAAATACTTCCCTAATAAACACTTTGCAAGAGCTGCTCTGAAAAAGGTGGGAGGAATCAAGCTAACTCTCCCACAAGACATATGATGGAACTCAGTAGTGGATGGTTTTGAGTACTGTATGAAGAACAGGCCTAATCTGATGATAATTTTATGAATTAAAATTGTGGAAAAAAAATGATGGCACTGTCACAGTTAAAGTTCTCAACATTGGGACTAAAAGAAATGTTGAACACGTGCTGACTACCCAGAAGCTTATTTCTTTAGCCTAGAACAAAATATAGAGAAACAGCTGTTTTATTGCTGATTTCTTAAAAAGAGAAATATATTATGACAGAGTTAAAAACAAGCTTTTTTTAAAAAATGGGACAAGCACTATCTCCAGCTCATTTTCTTGTAAATATTCTCGGCACCAGGGTCAAACCTTGAACTGCTGAAGAAAAGGAGTTGGCTATGCCATGGGCATTAGCAATCATCCCTCCATAATGCCACTATAATAAACTTCAGAGCTGAGGATGAACTGCTGAAGACCACTTCTTGCCCAGGAAAGACTGCTTTCTTCCTATCCACTCATCACACTATCAGTCACACAGAAAATGCTGTGAGAGAATCCATATATAAAAAGTGATTTATAACATTTTGTTTTTATTTATTAGATGTAGTTATTCATGCTGCAGTTTATAGCCTGCCATCACTATGTAATTATAAGAAAGACAGAAAATGCAGATTTACCTGAGCAAGCCTAAGGGCTGGGTTAGCTGGCAGTGGTCGTACAGGTACAGCTTGATGACAAGGCAACTGATGAAGGGGGGGTAGGACTCGCTGGGGTGTTTTTGACCACGGTAAATCAAGCGTCTTTACAGGGTTACTGATGTCAATAGTTTGATACGGTAGCAATCTTCTTGCACCATCTCTCTATAGAGCCATAAAATAATAAAACTGATAGTTTAAAAAATCCCAATGAATATTATGGAAACAAATAATGCTTGACACATTGTAATCATTCTTGTTCTGCACTTGCTTTCCCCTTCCTTCCCTCCCTGTTTTAACATACTCCTAAAGTCCTTACATGTAGCCAGAGAACAAGCAATGAGCAACTTCTAGAAGCTTTTTCAAACACTAATCTAATTCAGAAGGTAGTACTTTTGTCTGAGATGGCTGGCTGTATCCCAGACATTAATTGTATTTCTTTTCAACATTTGAAGTCTCTATCTGTCTGGAACTTGGAAGGAAAAGTGCATTTTGGACCCACTTTTTCTGCTCTTGTTTAACTTGTTCAGAGTTTTATATAATTTAAATAAGAAGTGTCATAATTACTGCAAACATACGGGAAATGTATATCAAATTCTAATAATGATATTTTGACTGTTTAAGAACCCACCTTATGTATGTTTAAATTTTGTGGCTTTATGACTAGATTTTTACTGAGAGTTGTGGTATGAACATGATTAGGCTCAAATGAACTGGAAGGCCTTGCGGGACTCACAGACCTGCAATACAAGTATACACTTATTGAATGCAACTTTGTTCTTACAGCTTTATTTTTTTCACAGTAACTTTCTCAAAATAACACTTTGAAAGGGCTTTCTCATTTTTTGCTCTCTACGGAAAACAAGGGAATGTAAAAATGATCTTAAAGTCTTGCATGAATAAAAATAAATATTGATTTTTTTGAAGCCACTAGTCTGTTAAATTAGCTGTTGCAATCTGTGGAAATGCAGCTTTATAGCACCCAAGAGACTGTTCTAATGAGTCTAGCATTTAAGTAGTGATGACCCCAAATATGGAAGTCTTTGCTCACTTGACTGAGTTTAGATAAAAGGTCAAGCCAGATAATGAAAATATTTCAAGCAACCCAAAATCAAGGCAAAGTTTCTTTTACATTTTAATTGCTTAGCACAAAAAGTATAATAAAAAGGCATATGGTCAAACCCCATTTTATTTACTGAAGTCAATGAAGTTGAAGTAAAGAAGAAAGAACACTGCTGACAGACTCCTCTTAATTAATGATGCATTTCAGTAAACTTGACTCATAACAGCTCAAATATGCACCACAAACACTGAGAGAGATAATGTGTATGGTCAGTTTCTACTGAACTTTATTATAATGAACAGATAGTTAAGAAAAATATAATACCTTAATTTCTCAATTGTTGTCTTTTTATTTGTAAATAGCAGTCTAATCAAAGTCTTCCTTTTGAGATACATGATTAAACCAGCAGCAAAAAGGCACAGAATGGTTACGAGTATTCCTATGGTTAAACTTCTATTATCTGAAATAAAACACATGTTTTGGACTTGTGATAAGGGTCAGTTATGGTGAAATTTGTGTGATATCAAGAGTGGCATGTTGCTGGCTAGACCTGCTTTCTAGAAATCTACAAAATGAAATTAGTAAATAATTTATTAGGGATCTGATAAGGTAGTATTTTGGCTTTGCTTATGCTTGAACTTAATTCTCCCATCATTTGTTTCTGTCAGCTCCAAAAATAAAATGGTTAAATACAAGCTGATAGAGATTCAGTTCATTCTTCAACTGTATAAACTGTTCCAAAGCAGAAAACTTAAATACAAAGGGGTGCACTAAAATATGGAAGAGGTAATTAAATATCAACTCTGTGATATAAGTACTAAATCATGATAGTTTATTTGTTAGCTTTGATTTATTACTTAAAACCCAACAGCTGATAGCAAAATGGTTGTGTCTCAGATCACCAACATTTTCTCCATTGTAAATGGATATGAGTGAAAGGGTAAAAATCAGTTGTTTTGTAGGGGAAATTAAATAACAAGCCATTACAGAATTGCAATCTCTATACCAGGGTTCATGGTACTCCAGTGGACAACTTCATTGCATTATTTGGATTTTACAATCCAAATGTCAGCCCTTTACATTGAGGTTGAAAACCGTTGTGACAATGGTTATGCTCCTTGAGCTCAGTAACAGCAGATAGAATGGAATAATCATGGCCTTTGCTTTAAATTCAGTGATATACAATAATTAAAAATGCTACCAACTTCTGCTCTTCCAAAACCAGAAAACAATCAATAAAAGATTCTACCCAACCTAAGCCAGGGTAAAAACCACGTGCTGGGAGCTCTCTCTCGTATACCAAGGGAGTTTGCAGCTGAAGAGTCTCTGTTAACTGTAGCTCTGGTAATATGATGGGGGAGCAGGAAGGTCTCTAGTCTATATAGTTAATATGTCAAAGCTAACATTTGGAAATAAAGGACCATGCAATGTAAGAATATGAAGCATTGATATCATGTGCTTGTGATGAGATACTCCATTTAATATGCAGGCTGCTGTTTTCTATACTGGCTTAAGTTCCAGAATGATTTAAGTTGCAGTTATGTGAAGATCACATTGCAATAGCCTAATCTAAAGGTAACAAAGATACGAATCAATCAAGCCAGGAAGTTTTGCATTTAAAAAACCAAAACAGTCACAATGTTGTGGTCAGGAAAAGATTGGGAAAACTTGGGTAGTTAGCTTTGGTATATGATCATCTAGCAGTAGCTGGGGATGCATTAATACTGCAGAACTGTAATGATGTAAGGTATCTCTCTTCCTCAGTAAAAGGTACAGTTATAATACTTACAATGGCAACCTCCCACCATCATCTCAGTCTTATCCTAATGGAATTTCAGCTGGCTAGATCTTCAGCCTACCCCAGCTTCACATAGATATTGGCCAGTGCAACTGACAGGATTGGTTGCATTGTGCGTCAGCAATATAGGACACTAGCTCATAGTAACAGTAATAAATCTTTTTCCAGTACTAAAAGCTAAATAAAATTAGTAATTCAAGAGTAGGCAATTATATTTAATTTATCTTTACATTGCAATTCTGTTAAATATTTAATGCTGCTACTTAAAAATATATATAGTGTGCTATGCACATGGATCTAGTAAAAGTAATCTAGGTAAAATCCATTACTAAAGACAAATCAAGCCATTTGTCACATTTAACTAACATAAATATTGTTGTGTTCTTTAGTGAGCTAATCCTACAGTTTGAATTATAGCTGTGCAAACTATTCAGATCACATTCCAAAACATATCAAGTGCTCACATTTAAATCAAAAGTGTCAGGGAAAGAAAATTAGTTCTTTGAGTGCTTGCTCATATTTATTCCAATTTGGTGTGCACATGCTGCGTGCATGGTTGCCAGAAAGTATTACTCTAGCTGCTATCCTTTGGGTCAGTTGTGGAGCCCCCTAAGAGTTCCTTCTTGCCGCCAGTGGCGGCTGTTAGAACTGTAGCTCTCTTGCATTGCAGTCATCACACATCCCTAGAGTTTAAAGTTAGTTTTCTTGATAACAGTTAACAGTTAGTTAGCATTGTAGCAGCGGAAGTGAAGGTGTTTCCCCTTCTTGCCTGTATTCCCTCTGGGACCTGGGGCATGCCAAGGTCCCAGGGATTCAAACCCTGCAGCTCTGGCCAAAAGGCTATGGCAACAAGTAGCTCCCATGATTCCCCTTCTTTGGTGTTTGGGGGAATCCCACCAAGCAGATAAGAGCATGATATGCAAGGACTTCAAGCCTTGGACCATAAAGGAATGGGATTCTCATCTGAAGCAGCACCTCATGGAGTCTACCCTGTAGCCACTAGGGCAGGATATAGCATCAAGTGCTCTGATGTGTAGCATATCACCTTTGGTTCTGGGCCTGGCACTGAAAAAGGACATTCAGAACTGCTATTCACCGAAGCCCTCCACCTGGTGCTGGTCTCACTCTCTGGCATGGCCTTCTAAGGCAGCCAAGCCCTCCACGTCCTCCATGCCCACAGGTCCTGACGGTCTTTGGCCCTGAGGCACAGAGATGCTGAGCTCCTCACATGTCCCGAGCTCAACTGTCTTGCACTCTCCAAAGGTAGAAGTAATGTTGGTCAGCTTGTCCTCCATGCTGGACATGTTCAAGGCCTTTGGCCAAATGCTCCCTGCTTTACCTATCAGGGATTTTCTGGTTGCCATTACCTCCACTCGACAGGTGTTGGAGCTTTGTGCCCTGACATCAGTCAGAACCCCCATACACAAGGATAAGGTCCAGTTTCATCCCGATCAAGCTCTTTCTGGATCACAGTGTGTATCCATGCATGTTATGATTTTGCCCAGATCTTCCCACTGCCTCTCATGGTGCATTCTATGCTAGTGCAGGCCTCTTCAGAGGCTTTCCTGGCTCATGTACTGCTTCAAGAAATCTGTAAAGCTGCAACTTGGTCTTTGGTGCATACCTTCACATTGCACTATGCCATTGTGCAACAATCAAGACAGGATGCAGCCTTTGGTACCGTGGTTCTCAAGTCATCCACGCCCTGACTCTGACCTCCTCCTCCTGGGTAAGGCTTGTGAAATACCTACTTAGAACAGATATGAGCAAGCACTTGAAGAGGGGAAAAAAAGTTATTCACCTTTGTAACTGTTGTTGTTTGAGATGTGTTGCTCCTGGGCAGCCTGAAGGAACTGACTTGTACGTTCAGGTCAGCAGAGACACATATAACGCGCCATGCTGGTGCCACTCCAGGGGACTTCCACAGCCAACCCGATAGGTAGCTGCTCAGGTAAAACTTTCTGGCCATCATACATGTGGTGCACGCAAATTTACTTAGAATAAATATGAGCAACACATTCCGAAGAACAGTTACAAAGGTGAGTAGCTGTTTTTTGTTGCCGTGGATATGATTGTGAGGTCACTAGTTCAGCATTACAATTTAATGTAGGATTCAGTATGTAGAGTCTACAAGCCAATTTATACTGAGTAGCATTTTTCATGTGAAAAGAGTTCAGATTACTTTCCAGAAAATCATATGCCATACATACAAATGTGAGCAGACTATGGGCCTAGTTCTCCTGTCACTGATATAAATCAGAACTCCATTTAAATCACTAACGTTATTGTACTCTGAAATATAACTTGTATCTAAAGATTATCAAAATAAGGTATTGATTTACAGGCATTTACTTTTACAAATCAAAACCTCATAATATGACAAATTTAGAAAATTAAGTAAATGTGATATGGTGACATAAGAAAATGTTTTGTAGTGGGGAAAACTTCTGAATAGGTCACAGTTAAACATAAAATCCATTTTTAACTTTCACATTTTTAAAAGTTACTGTATCAATATCAAATTTGAGAGTAACTTTTGAACAAGAGCACATCTTTCAGAGAAAAAATTGCTAGTGAGAATCCACCATGATCTTTGCTAAATTGTTCCAGTGGTAATTACCCTCGCTGTCAAAAATCTGCACTTCAACTCTAGACTGAATTTGTCTAGTTTAAATGTCCAGTCTTTGAATCTTTTATATTCTTGTCTGCAAGATTGAAAAGCACATTGCCGATTTTTTGTTCTTTACATAGGTTCTTATAAACTGTGACCAAGAAATCTGTTAACTTTCTCTTTAAGTTAAATTGAACTCCTTGGCTGTGTCTACACTGGCCACATAACCCGTAATAGCTATGGAAATAAGAGAAGTCAGAATAGGGAAATGCGCGGGGGATTTAAATATCCCCCGTGGGATTTAAATAAATATAGCCGCCGCTTTTTTCTGGCTTGGGGAAAAGCCGGAAAAGAGCGTCCAGACTGGCGCGATCCTTGCAAGTAGGAATAAGAGATCCTCAGGAATAGGGCTTTATTCCAGAGGATCGCGGCAGTCTGGACGCTCCTTTCCGGCTTTTGCGGCTATATTTATTTAAATCCCACGGGGGATATTTAAATCCCCCGCGCATTTCCCTATTCTGACTTCTCTCATTTCCATAGCTATTACGGGTTATGTGGCCAGTGTAGACACAGCCCTTGTGTTTATCACCGGTAAGACAACTTTCCCAATCCACTAATAATTTTGGTCACTATGTTGTTAACTCTCTCCAATTTATCATCAAGATCCTTCTTGAATTAAAGACATCAGAATTGAATACTGTATTCCAACAGTGGTTACACCAATACCAAATACTGAGAGAATATTCTTACTACTACTTAAGATTCTCTGGTTGTGCATCCAAGGCGTGTGCATGTAGAGCTGATTATCTGCCATGACCAAGACTATTTTTTCACTGCTTTCCAGTGCTTTCCAGGTCAGAGTTCCCCATTCTGTAAATATAGCCTGCATTCTATGTTTGTTTGTTTACACTTGAACATTTTGAAAAACATATGAATTGCAAAAGTGATCCAGTTCATTCTGCATCAGTGACCTTTCACTTTCATTATTTACCACTCCTCTGTTCTTATGTGTCATAAGTGAATATTAAATTTTCTTCTAGGCCACTGATAACATTTTTAAATACCTGTAGCGTAGAATGAAAAAACAATCTCTGTGAGACCCAGTAGAAACACATCTAGGCAATGATGATTTTGTGTTTACACTTATGTTTTCAGATCTCCTCATTAGCCAGTTTTTAAAACATTTAATAAGTGTAATAATTTTGTATTTCTAGTTTAATGAAAATGTTGTATGGTATCAAGTCAAATGCCTTACCGAAGTTTATGTAAATTACATCAATACTGTTACCTTTATCATCCAAACTCATAATCTCATCCAGAAAAAATATCAAGTTAGTTTGAGCTGATTTATTTTCCATAAACTAGTGCTGATTGGCATTAATTTTACTACCCTCCTTTAACAATGATGCTGTAGTCACTGGCAGATATTTTGGCATTTGATATATCTCAAGGTACATCAGAAACACTATCTCTTACATGGTGATATGCTAGAAGGACTAAATAGATAGGTGCAAACTGTTACAGAGTACAAGTCAGTAATGGGCAACCAACTCTATTGAGTGGGCCACGTGGATGGCCCTCCCTAGTCTCAGTGTTTTGCAAGACTAAAATTAGTCATGTGCAATAACCATGACCAAAAAAGATTGAGTACCTTAATACATGGCATGCTGAATATTTCAAAAGAAGTAGAAATCATTCATATAGTAATAAAACTATCAACTTCAAACAATAGTTTAAAATATTACACTTACTTTACAATATCAAATCACTGCCTCCTCTCCCTAGCACGTTCCCTGCTCCTTTCTCTCCCTCCCAGCACTTCTGGAGTACCATGAACTGGCTGATTTATACCTGTCTCAAATCCTCCCCCTACCTCCCAGAGCTTACATTTACGTAAACACCACAAGTCAGTTAAGTAACTTGCTCATTTCCACATAATGAGTTAGGGTTAAAACTCAAGTTCCTGGTTCCTAAAATTGCACTCTCACCAATATACCATGGCCCCACATATCCCCAATTACTGAATTAGGCAGCTTACTTTTAAAAACAAATTGTTTGTGTTCTTAATTATGCAATAATATAGCTACAGTCAACTGACAGTGATTTTGCTTCACTAAATTTTAATTGGTGCCAATTCATTTGAACTAGCTTGTCCAATTAATTGACAGTTTTGCACTCTCAATGCACATTTTCAATAAAAACCCATGTGGATTTTCACTTTCTATCATAGAATGGCAGGAAAGTGCTAGCTATTACTAACCTGCTTGTCTAGTTGGTCCACTGTCCATGCTGCCACCAAAACCTGGCTTGTCGCAATGGGGAGGGGCCCAGTCAGGTTCGCAGTGACAATTTTTTTTATTGTTACAGACCTTCAATATAAAATTATGACAAATGAAGTAAAATGAAGTTAATTCAGAGTTGAATCTTATCAGAGCACATAACAGGGACACTTCCAAATCAGCATACTGTAATTACCTCGATTCAATACAATTACTTAACACGTTTTTCAAAATGTTTATATCCTAATAGCAATGTGGAACCTAAATCACTATTCAAGTTGCGCGTGTAATAACTTAAACTGTAAGTGCCATTTCGTACCTCTGCTGAAACTATGAAACTCAGGGCATGAAAGAAGAGTGGTGTTCATCTTCAATCATCTGAACTAACATTCACTACACTCACTTGTCTTCAATGTTTCTCTTTCTCCTCTCCATCAGGAGCCTCACTCACAACTCCTATTACTTCTCCCTTGAAAAGAACGAGAGTCCTCTCACCTTCTTAAAGCCCCAGCAGTGCCTGAGCTGCTTACTTTCTGGTCTGAGTCCTAACTTCCCTATGTTGGACTGACTACTGATTCTGGCACTTCGCAGGCCTCAGCTGTAAGGGTGACCAACATTCCCAGCCAAAGGGAATTGGTCACACTGTGTGTACAATTTGGAGGAAGAAGGATATTGGCAAGGATGAGAGATAAGGTCAGCTCCCAGACTACTGCACTAGGCAATGCAGTATGGGAAGGAGGTGGGAAGCCCTCAGTGGAGAAAGAACAGGTTAAGAACTATTTAGAAAAGCTAGACATATACAAATTCATGGATCTGGATTTAAGGCAGCTGACGGTACTGAGGGAGTTGGCAAATGTCATTGCAGAGCCTTTGGCCATTATCTTTGAAAACTCATGGAGATTGGGAAAGGGCCCGGATGATTGGAAAAAGGCAAATGTAGTACCCATCTTTAAAAAGGGAAGAAGGACAATCTAGGGAACTACAGACCAGTCAGCCTTACCTCAGTCCCCGGAAAAATCAAGGAGGGGATCCTCAAGAAATCCATTTTGAAGCACTCGGAAGAGGGGAAAGTGATCAGGAATAGTCAACATGGATTCACCAAGGGCAAGCCTGACCAATCTGATTAGATTTTGTGATGAAGTAACTGGCTCTGTGGACATGGGGAAGTCATGGAAGTGATATGCCTTGACTTTAGCAAAGCTTTTGATAACGGTCTCCCACAATATTCTTGCCAGCAAGTTAAGGAAGTGTGGATTGGATAAATGGACTGTAAGGTGGATAGAAAGCTGGCTAGATTGTCGGGCCCAATGGGTAGCGATCAACGGCTCAATGTCTGGTTGGTAGTCAGTTTCAGGTAAGTGCCCTAAGGATCAGTTCTAGGGCTGGTTTTGTTCAACATCTTTATTAATGACCTGGATGAGGAGATGGATTGCACCATCAGCAAGTTTGCGGATAATACTAATCTAAGGGGAGAAATAGATACATTGGAGGGCAGGGACAGGGTCCAGAGTGACCTAGACAAATTGGAGGATTGGGCCAAAAGAAATCTGATGAGGTTCACAAAGGACAAGTGTAGAGTCCTGCACTTGGGACAGAAGACTCTCAAGCATTGTTACAGGCTAGGGACCGAATGGCTAAGTAGCCATCCTGGAGCTACCTCTGCTGTTGCTCTGCACAATGGTCCTTAGTCGATACAATTTGTATAGACTACATGATTAGTCAGATGACTGCAATTTAACATCTCTACTGTGAACTACTCTCTGGAAATAGCTTTCCCACCAGTTATGTATGCACTGACCTTATAGTAGCTCTACCTACCAGTTATTTCCAAAGTTTGTTTAAGAGAAGGTCATGTGAGACAGTACTTACTGAATTCAAGATATACCACATCTACTGCTTCTGCTCTATTCACAAGGCTTGTTACCCTGTCAAAAAAGCTATTAGGTTGGTTTGACACAATTTGTTCTTGATAAGCCTGTGCTGACTACCACTTATCTTGTTATCTTCTAGGTTGCTCACAAATTGATTTGTTTAATTATATGCTCTCGTATCTTTCCCAGTACTGAAGTTAAGATGCCTGGCCTGTAATTCATACACTGCAATCAGCATGGTTTTACTTTTTTATTTTAAACCTTTTGAAAGTGCTTTTTGAAAAACACGAATTCAGATGCAAACTCTTAACTCACATCTGTGACCACAGAGAAACTTATTTGAAATGTTAATAGCAAATTCTTTAAGAAGGAAGGGTAGGCTTAAAATCACTTTGAAGATGAAACAATTCCTTTTCATCTCAGAATGTTAAAAAAATAAATTACTATTTGATCACATTTTTCTTTGTTAAGTAAAATCATATTTAATTTCTCATGGTGCAGAAAGGGCACTGCAAATTGATATCTGCAGAGGGAAATGTTGAAGAGACTTTAACCGATATATTGCAAAGAATTGTAGATTCTAGAGTTGTTATCAGTGAATGATTTATTGCTCAACTGGGTATTGACTGACTACAAAAAAATTTCTGTAATACTTACTCCATGTCCATGGCATTTTGTTGCACATTCATGAACACCAAATATACTAGTATTTTGGCACTGGCGATTGAGACAGATCTGCAAAATTAGGAGAACAGATTTATATTCCCCCCCAAAAAACCATTACAACTTTACAACTATATTTATTCATCTTCCACCTTTCCAGTAACATTTGTGCTGATTTGCCTATCCAGTAACTGATTACACATCAGTAGAGTTAACCCTGATTTTCAGCAATGTAGAGAAGATCACAATCAGAAGCTATAGTCCAGATTTTTAAAGATACTTAGATGTTTGCTGCACTCAGTCTTTCAACATGTAACTGATTCAGGAGCTGAAGTTTCATTTTCAAAGGGGATTTATATACTGAGCATTGGCAATCAGGGGGATTTGTGCTTATATGCCCAACTCACTTTTGAAAACAATACCTAGGTTCCCAAGTCAGTTAGGCATTGCAACACTGAGCACAGCAATGCCTAAATACTTTTTAAAAGTACATTCTTTATATTATAACCATTTTGGATTCAAATCCACATTCAATCCTAGGCTGGGTAAAGGTCAATGTTACACTTGACTAGCTATGCAGAGTACTGCAAGATTGAATTTCAGGTATATGTGATATCAAAGACTATATACCGTGCTATTGTAAATCTGCCTAGCACCATTGACTTCAATGGAGCTACAGTAGTTTACATTAGATGAGGATCTGGCTTTTAGTTTCTGCAAACTAATAATTATTAAAACACTCTATTTACATAATTGGGTTCTTACTCTTTTAGAACAGTGAACATGTCAAAACCCTATTCTTTCATGTACTTGAACTGGCTGCATTAGAATTCTCACAAGCCACTTTCTGAATTAAAAGGTCAGATCCTCTGCTGGTATAAATGGACATAGTTCAATTTACACCAGGGCTGCACCTAGACAGGCAAGTTTTTCCGCAAAAGCAGATGCTTTTGTGGAAAAACTTGCCAACTATCTACACTGGCCACTTGAATTTGCGCAAGAACACTGATGATCTAATGTATGATCGTCAGTGTTCTTCCGCAAATACAATGACTCTCCCGTTCGGGAAAAAGCCCTCTTGTGCAAATACTTTTGCGCAAGAAGGCCAGTGTAGACAACTGAGAACCGTTTTGCGCAAAAAAGCCCCGATGGCAAAAATGGCGATCGGGGGTTTCTTGCGCAAAACCCCGTCTAGATTGGCACGGACGCTTTGCTGCAAAAAGTGCTTTGGATATCTGAAATTCTTGAATATTTTCGAAAGAACACTGATAAATGCTGATGTGGAACAAGGATGGAGGAAAAATGGCAAATTTCATCTGATTGGATAAATCTAAACCATTCTAACAGTGAAAGTTTTTTAAACTAAATTATTTTTAAATCAACCATAAATAGAGTTGCATATTAGGTAAAATAACCTAATTTCACAGGAAATTACAGATTAGCATTAGCATAGAGGAAGAGCTTTTACCCTTTTGTTAAGTGGAAATTAACAAATATAGAGTGTCATCCAATCATGTTCAAAGTTCTTTGTTTTATAATCATTACAGAGAGTTAACTTCACTCTTCCCGCACAGCTGAAGGTTGGGATAAAACAATCTAATAAAAGCACCAATACAAATGGAAATGACTGATGGAACTGATGGTAATAAGTTATCCAATTCTAACTGAAAAAACATTAAGATTGGAATGACTATTACTATACGAGCTCAGCAATAAAAAACCCAGTGTATAAATTATGCTCTCCTTTAAAACTCTAATTCAGTTTAGTAGGATTACAGGGCAGTCACAATAATTAGCAGCAGGCTGGGAAAAAGTGATGGCAGTAGACAAAAGGGATGTCTAATCAGGGCAGTTATCCCCTGGGGGGAAAAATTGGGAAGCAAATTAGAGTGAATAGGCATCAACCTGCATGCGTGTGGGGAATATGCTCTGATTACAGCAGTGTTCACAATTCAGATATTTAGAGTGTACTAGCACAGAGAATTCTGATCACATAAAAATGGCTGCATTTCAAACTTTAAATCTTCAGCGTAAAAAATCAAGAATATTTAAATTCATATTCTGAATCCGTAATACAAATATGGTAATGCCTTGAAAATATAATTTCATGAGTATTAGGCAGTCTAGTCTATAGAGCATGTTTATGCGGAGTACAATTAGACAGATTAGAAAGATTAAATACTCACTACTGAACTGGAATGGGGGGGGGGCTTCTATACCACTGGATTACTCACTAGTTTTCTCTACGAATAGCCATTTTATAGACCATTTTATCACAGAATTATTTTACATTTATGGAGGGTGGTGTGTTTTCTTATAGCTTTTGTAGTAATAAGACATTTTTAAAATCTGTTGCTAATATGTGTAACAAATGTGGTAATTCAGCAACATTCAAACATTTGGATACATGAATGGTTTTCTTGCAACTAACCTAAACTTTCCTAGACTCTTCCCCTTCTTCCTTTCTGTCCACAAACCTCTAATCACATGCCTGCCCTCTCCTCTCCTCCTCAGTAGAGCAAAGGCTCAACGTCCCTCAACTCCATAAATTTAAAGCCCTCCTGTGGCCAACGGCTCTTCTCTCTCCCACTGCCCTGTCTGCTTTTTTCCCCTCCAGTTAAAACTATGGATATGGTGCCAAGATGGAAACTGTACTACACATGTGGAAGACAAGTAGTAATTTTTGCAGTGTGTGTGTGTGTGTGTGTGTGTGTGTGTGTAAAATTTAGCTTCGGCGTCTACACAACCATTGGTTTGTTTTCCTTTAAAGTGAAAGGTTGTTCATTTCAGATGCTTCAATTTCAATAAGCAGCTTTTTTGGAAGTGAAAAATGGAAATGCAAGTAGTGATTAGCAAAATCTTATGAACACATTAAGAAGCTCATGTAGAAATAACAGGAAACTCCATGGATACGCATCATTTTGGGTATTGGTATAAAAATTCATAGACCTTTATATTTTGAATCTTATATTTTATTAAACACAAAGGCTACGTCTACACTGCAAGGTTTTTGTGCAAAAATGGCCATTTTCTGAATGGGTCCGAAGAATATTCAACAAATCCTGGGTAATCTGTTTATGTAAATCTGTTGACCTAATTAATTAATCCTGTACAATAGAATAAACAACAAATTCTGACTCAAGACAATACACAAACCTATTTAATTACAATCCTAATGCCCAGATATAACACCAAACAATAAAAATACTTTGTCAGATTTTCAATAGCTGGTCTTTATTTTGGCTTTTGGAATTATTTTACAAGAGAAAAAAATGGATTTGTATAAAAAGTAGAAAAAGTACTAATGAAACATACATCTAAGCAATTTACATTATACCTACAAAAATGTGGGTTCAAAAACAGAAGCCAAGTGAAGAAGCAGGTAAAAACCTGGCTCCCTATGAGGCTGTGGAAAACCATGCAAAATCACATACTTCTTTGTGAAAAAAGACACTTATTTTAGTACACAGAGATTTGAGACATAAGGATAATAAAGTTCCACTTTTATACATTGAGAATTGGCTGTTTGGAGATTATTTTTGAATCTTACTTTTCCATCTTCACATTTTGTGCCTGCCAAAACGAGACCGGGATCAGGCATATCATCACCCAAGTACACATGGGTACCACGACATAGAATCTTGCCTCCTTCCTGCAGCGGGATATTAGTTTCTATGGAAACAGCATTGGTACCAATTACAGGTCGATTTGCTCCCCCTTGACACTGAATTTTTCCACATTTAGCATCTCTGAAGGGAAAAATGATTTCAACAGTTTTAAAGATATCCAAAAACTGTGGCTTGTGTTGCAACATCAGTAGTTCTGGATGAAAAGAGAGAGACTACCTGGGTTCACATTTAGCAAAGGAACTTTTGGAGTCCTTGCCACAGTTGCCATAAGGATCACCTGCAGAATTGACTCTCTCAAAGCAGATCCCAGGAGCAGGTTTAGCACCTGAAATAAAAACAAATCAGGATTTTCATCTGACACAGTTTTTAATAAGTTTCTTTGAGCTCCACTTGTATTTTAGTGGAAGGTGAGATGTGGCCTGCATGCAGATCAAGCCCATCAAAACAGTTCTGCTTACTCAGCATGCTAACTGAGCAACCTGAATGTATGGATTGTCCACAGTTGGTGGTCTCTCTTGGCTAAGTGAATTGATAAACGAATTAGGCTTAATTCTCCACGATTTCTAGATGGTGTCCCTCATATATCCTCTTTAAACATAACTGTAACTAGTTTGGCCAAGAAAGATAATGAATAGTTTACCAGTTGTCTTCAGAGTAGGTAAGTTACCTCCAGAGTAGGTAAGTGAGAACCTAAGAACTAAAGAATAGCCAAAGAGCAGTGCTAGGTCACTGAGGGTGTGTCTACATTGCACCATTATTTTGAAATAACTAGCGTTATTTCGAAATAACAATGTGAGTGTTTACACAGTAATTCTGTTATTTCGAAATAAATTTGAAGTAACAGCCGGCTTATTCTGACTTCTGCAAACCTCATTCCATGAGGAATAATGCCTATTCTGAAATAGCTATTTCGACGTAAGCTACACAATTGATGTAGCTAAAGTTGCGTAGCTTAATTTGACTTTAGCCCTGCTGTGTAGACTTACTCCTAGTGAGCATTAAAATTTCCAAATATTTGAGCTGTTTCCAAGCATGTGTATATAGTAATAATTTTGTAGTGCTTGATAAAATTTCTAAAAAGAGAAAGGTGAAAAAAGGGCTTCATATTCCTGAAGAATAAAATTAAACATGGTAAAAGAGAGTTACGGTTAGTGTAAATCTTTTCATTAATAATGCAGAGATTAAAAACTCAATTTATTATATATATTTCACAGTCAGAAGCTTGACTAATAGAATGTTCTTAACTAAGCAGCAAGCTAATGCTACCATGGACAAAATGTTCAATCTTAGGGAAAGGTTTTAGATGGCTTCCTTAACTCTCCCTAACTTTTTACAGATTGACACTGGAAAACTCAGAAAATAAGGCTAAGAGGGAACAAAATATGAGCTGCTGCTCTCCTGGAGAGAAGGACAAGAGCCTGAAGTTCTTTGACTGATTACTATCAAGCTTGCTGAATTCAGGATACTTCTCAAATCTGAGATTAAACAGGAATCACACAGGATCCTTATACTTTTTTCAGGAAACCACAAGCAATAATTATAAATTAACGGAGGCATCTTAAAAAAAAACAACTATCCAGATGAAAGCCAAAATTCAAACTTCACTTTCTATGAGGTTTCTTTCTTGACTTTCCAGTTCAGGGCCAAGATTCAGCATCAGATTTAAATTTTAAACATGCACAAGCTAGTACTATTTTTTTAAATTAAAGTGGTAGAAGGAATAAGTGGAAATAAGCTTGAAGATCAAGTAAACCTAATTCCATTCCTTCTTACATTTACAGAGACCTAATTATTTAGCCTCAACTTTCATAACTAGCCTAAGGAATGCAGCACTTGTGCACCTACTTGTGCACCTGCTTCTGGTGTCATTTTCTCAACTGGGAAAACTCTTACCCAGTAGGTTATCTTATACAGTAATGAACACATCCTCTAAAAGAGTACCAAGAGAACGTGTCACTGTGACAGTCCAAATACAAAGTAGGTTATCTTATACAGTAATGAACATATCCTCTAAAAGAGTACCAAGAGAACGCATCACTGTGACAGTCCAAATACAAATATGTTTGCACAGAACGTTATGTGTGTCTATAACAGCAAACACATTGCTTGTGTGTGTGTGCCTACATTGCCTCAAGACCATCAATCAAGATTGATTAAGGACATGGCCATTACTTGGATAAGGAGCGATATGAAGGAGAGCAGACGGGTGGATTTTCATTTACTGAAGGATCCTTTAGATACTCACCTATATTTTTGAATGTCGAAGCAGCCAGCATGTTAAAGATGACAAAGTAGGCTTTGTTGTCTAGGGAGCTCATCTATCTCTTTTAGCTCCACAGGCACATTCAACTCCAACTGATGTTACTTATTAAGAGACCAGACCTTTAATTGGACCGACAGTCCATTCCTACCAGGCTCTGCGTACACTGCATGTAAAAGCACCTGACTCACATTGGTCAATTGTGGTCTGGAAACCAAAGCCTAGCTCTAAATTTCTGTTACCTAATTGAAAGCATAACATTCATTGGCTTGGGATTCAGATGATTGCAACCTCCATCAGATTGGCCATTTTTCCAACTTTGGATTTTATTTTAGCTACAAGCATGAAAATATATGAGGAAACTGAACAGATGGAGTTCCTAGGTTAAAAGACAGAGCTCTCAAAGGACTTACGTAAGAAATTCATAATGTTATGTTTCTTGAGGAAGCTCATTTATCACAATTTCAGCACACAAACTGAAGGAGAAAGTGCTTTCTCTATTTTGCTACTTCAAGAAGAAGAAACAAAATGATTTGCGAAAAGATTTCCAATGGATATTAAGCACCTTGATATTGGATGAGCAAGAGTTTATTTAACTTAGCTATTGACAGTTACAACACTGCAACCCTATAATTAAGGTCCTATCAGTCTTTGCCTTCCAAATCTTATTTTTTAAGCAATTAAATCATCTGAAATTCACATCACATTAAAACATGCCCCTGAAGTTGTCAGCCTAGATACATATTTTTTCAGAAGTGAAAACTGATTAATTTACTTCTTTAATTACAACACAAAAACAGAGTAATGTTGTACGGGTTCAAATGCTTCTATAACTTGCTTTAATTAAAATACCTTAAAATATGAACATGAGAAGGAGGGTTCGAATCTGAGAAGGAGCAAGATTTCTGACAGTAGGGGAAGTTACAAACACAGATACTAGGTGTTTGTACTAGGTGCTGAAATGAAAAGCAGAAAGGAGAGGAAGACAGCTCTTGTTAAGGGACTAGACCACTGGATTAAATTGCCTAGGGAGTAAGGATGTTAACTAGCAGTTAATTGACTAGTAGAGTAGTCAATGGAATTTCCATTGACTACCCGATTAGTTGAAAGGCACTTCAGCTCTTGTAATTTCAAAGGAGGAATGCAGAACTCTGTGTGCAGCCCGGGGCCTGTGGGAAGTCCTGCTGACTTCGTGCTGACTTTGTGCCAGCTTTGAAATGTACAAGAGTCCCCAGCAGGGGCTCTTGTGCATTTCAAAGCAGAAGCGCTGACCCGGGCTCCATGTTGCGCTGCTGCTTTGAAATACCACGTGGAGCCCGGGGTCAGCTGGGAACTCCCCAGCTGATCCTGGGTTCTGTGGAAATGCTGTGCTGGAGCATTGGATCAGCTGGTGAGTCCTCAGCTGACCTCACGCTCCATGTGCGGCAGCACCGCACAGCTGTGCGGGGCTGCCCCTTTGACTGACTCAGCATTTGAAAGGGACAGCGCCACACAGCTGAGCCAGGCATCAGCTGTGCAACTGCCCCTTTGAAATGCCGAGCGCTGATCACCTGGGGACTCTCCAGCTGATCTTGGGCTCCGTGGAAATGCCACACTGGAGCAGGAGATCAGCTGGGGAGTCCCCAGCTGACCCCAGGATCCACGTGCGCAGCACCACACAACTAATTCCCAGCTCAGCTGTGCGGCACTGCCGCATTCAAGTACCCCCCTCTTCTTCTCCCTTTGCTGCCTCTACCTGATAGAGGCAGCAAGGGGCGGGGGGCGGGAGGGGGGAATGAGGGGAAATCAACTAATCGACTGACTATCCAATAAGCATATTCGACTAGTCCTTAAAATCCGTACTAGGGAGGTTGTGGAATCTCCATCAATGGATATATTTAACAGCAGGTTAGACAGACATCTATCAGGGATGATATAAACTGTGCTTGGTCCTTCTGTGAGAGCAGGGGACTGGACTTGATGATCTCTTGAGGTCCCTTCCAGTTCTAGTGTTCTATGATTCTATTCTGTGATAGAACCAACAGACAGACTCCACCCAACAAGAAGGCCATCTGACATTTGGCTGCATGAGCTGTCCCACGTTATTCACACAGGAACAAATGAATGTAGATGCACACCCTCTGCTCCTCTTCTGAAAGATTTATTTGCCTGTCAGTGTGGAAAATGCCAGCAGTCTAAAGGTTAACATTCTCCACACTCCCAGGAAATCAATAATTTGTCTGTTTCTCATAGTTTTCTGCATATGTAGTTTATCCTGAAAATGCCAATGGAGCTGCAGACATTATACAAATGCATTTACGATTGATGTATCCTTCAGTCATATTACTGTTGGTAGGTCAAACAAATGGCAATATAACTTTTTAGAAATGGAAATATAAAAAAAATGTTTCAAGTGGAAGCATTTTACTCTTTTAGTATAAACATGATACACATGCAAGAGTATGCAGTATTGCTGTAGCCATGTGGGTCTCAAGATATTAGAGACAAAACAGGTGAGGTAATATTTTTTATTGGCCTGAGAGACAAGCTTTTGTGCTACACAGAGCTCTGCAGAAGAATACTACCTGACCTAACTTATCTTCTGCACATGCAAGCATAAAACAGAAGAAAAATCTGCACTGGGAGCAGAGCACAGTAATGATGCTCTTTAGAGACTGTCCCCGGCGCTTTCTAGCTAGCCAAATGCTTGGTGAAACACACCATATGTTTTTAAGTGGCTTCAATCCAGGATCAAACTCTAGCTGTGGAGGCCTTCAAAGCATCAAATATGTTATGCACTTTCCCCATGTGTGTATAGGTGCAAGGGAGAAGGCTGCTTGGCCTTTTCTTTCAGACACTCTTATAATTATTATTATATTATTTCTTTCAGACACTCTTATTATAATAATAATTATTATTATTATTTGGCTTTTGCTGCAAGTGACTGAATGCAGAAAGGCAAGAGTTCCATGTCATTCTCTGATCTGAGGTCCTGTGCACAAAAGATTGAATTAAATGGTTCTGAAGCTCAATTAGTGTTGCAAGACTCCTTCCATCCTGATTGCCAGTAGGTATTGTATCTTCTCCTAAATATGCCCTTACTTTGTCTGATAGCTCTAATGCTAAATTGTCATTCAGGTCCTGTCTTAGATGTGCCACTGAGTTTCCCTGGCTGCCACTCAGGGATCGTCCCCTGAGATTATACCCTACTACTCAACTACCATGTATGGTGGAGGACCACAGGTTGAAGAGAGACCTAGGCTACATCTAAACTACGAGCTTCTTCTGCAAGAGGAAATTCAAATGGAGCACTCTTTTGCATACATCACTCTCATTTGCATTTCCTCTTCCTTTCCCTGTTGCGCAAGAGGTTTTTGCACAAAAAAGCGCTGTGAAGACAGTGCAGTAATGTTTGGGTAGCTCTGCATCAATTGACCATTAAGCACAATATAAAAACAATAGAGTACGTAATATATATTTACCTGATATATTGTGTAAAGGTTGTTGACAGAAAGCTAGAGTACGACTTTGCTCCTGGATGAAAATGTATGGATCAGGTGGTACACCTCAGAATAAAACCTGACCTTTAAGTAACACTGGTTTGGTTTTTAAATGGACAGACGAGGAAATGCAAATGAGAGCATGACATATGCAAATGAGCGCTCCATTTGAATGTCCTCTTGTGGAAGAGTCTTGTAGTTTAGCCATAATCATATTCTGTCCTTGGGGAATGCATATGGGGATGGTTAGCCATGCAAGCACTAAATAATGTCCTAAAGATGGGTGCAAGTTTCCGTGGCACCTAGGCAGCTCTTTAGGGCTCTACTCTGTGGATACACAGTGAATCAGGATTTGGTCTTGTGTTATTTAATTTACAAAGATGAAATTGACTCTGGGAAAACATAATGATTTTTAAGAAAGACAATATCCTGGTATCACCTAAAATACTACTGGTTTTATTGGGTGGGAGAGCCATGAAAAGTATTTCTATGTGTGAACTAGACTTATCTGCTTGGAGCAATGAAGAAACATTAAGTGTAGTTCTCGTTTCCCTGAAACAGATTCTCATTGGTCTCCATAATTTACACAAATTCAAATATCTCATTGCTTTTCTTTAACTAGAGCTACAAAGGTAGGGTTGACGTTTATTACAGGGGATACTTGGCCTTTGTCAGGAGACAGGAGTCAGGAGTGTACAAAGGACACTCACATAAGGACTTCTTTTGTACAGGAAACTTTACTATGTTTTATCCCACATGACTTCCTGCTACTTATAACACCAGAGCACAAGCCCTGTAAGTGTGAGTCTCTAAACCCAGGCGCTGAGACTCACTGCCACTTTCATTTGTTTATTTTTTGCCATGTAGACATCTTCTTAGGAGACTAATGTCACTGAAAGTCAAAGGGACTTATGCTGCCAAGAGCTGAAATTCCTTTTAAAATTGGGACGAAGGCTCCTAAATCATTTAAATGCTTTTCAAAAGCTTGGTTCATGCTAATTATTTTACCAATTGTTTCTCTATATTTCAGTATCTCCACCTGAACAATGGGGCTAAAATGCACTTTCATACCTCAGCTGTGTATATAAATACATGCAAAAAGATTATGAGGCACTCACTACTACAGTAACCGGGGACACCAAAATACCTAGAATATACAATGTTCTCATTACCAAATGCTCCACTTTTCACTGATGGTTATTATGAAATCACCACTCTCTGCCCAAAATGTGACTCTCCTGTGTAGTAAGAGGGGTCTAGTTGAAGACTGGTCTCTTAAACTCACTATAATGGTTTTGCATATTGTTTTACTTCCAATTGCTGTACTGATATATGCTGGGCTTTTTTTTGTCTCTTTCAGTGTTGGATTTTTGATTGAACAATTATTTAAATGCTGTGGGCCAGCTGGTATAAATTGGGGGTAAGTCTGGTGAAATCAACAAAGCTTTGTCATTTTTTACCAACTGAGGATCTGGCCTTGATTCTCACAAACACAACTGTATTCAGGAGTAGGTACGGGCCTTATGCCTTAAAAACAACAGAGCCATTGCAGCTACTGATATTAGTAATTTCATTTAAGATTCAGGCTTCTTTGCTTTATTATTAAGATAAAAAGGAGGCAGATTCTGATCTTACATGGAGAGAATTTACACCAGTATAGCTCTGTGACTTCAATGCGGTTATATCTGATTTACAAAGATGTTAGTGGTAGAAGACTCAAACCCCTCGATTTTGGTTTGGTAATCTCCTCTCCCTCAGAAATGTAGTCTCAGAAGCTACCACAGATGAGAAGTGACTGTTCATATTGTAGGGGCAACCACAGTAGGAAAATTAGCACCTTTAATACAGCAGGAGCTAGAAACAGTTCAACTTTGCAAATGCTAAGACTCTCTAGAGATTCTGTCACCATACTATAAAAACTGTATGCTGTCACACCCTTCTGTTTAGCTGCACCATTTCTGGCTGCTACTGCAACTCAGAGAGCCATTGTTTTAGTGTGGACTAGGGATGTAAGGGTATATCTATACAACAGAGCTTAACTTAAATAAGCTATACAAATTGAGCTACGTCAATTGCACAGCTTATTTTGCAATAGGGAGCATTTACACAGCACTTATTTTGAAATAGTGCACTCTTCCTCTGGCTTCCCTTATTCCGTGTACAATGAGGGTCACAGGAGTCAGAGTAAGAAGTCCTCCAGCTTGACAGTGTTTTGACACTATTTTGGAATAACTGCCTACTGTGTAGACACAGACTAAGTTATTTCAGAATAGCACTAGTTATTTTGAAATAATGTTTCTGTGCAGATGTACCCTAAAAGATTAACTGGTAAACCGCACCGTTAATAGGTGAGGCTTACCAGTTCCTGTTAACCAGCGGGGGCTGGACCAGCTCCCTGTCCACCTTTGGCCAGCTAGCAAGAGCAGCCTCTGTCTGTAGTGTGCCTGGTCTGGCCCTCCCACCGCAGGTTACACACCCTGACTCCCCGGGAGCAGGGCCAGCAATCTGCTCCCAGGATCTGGCTGCAGAGTTGCAGCGAAGCCTCCCTGGGAATCCCTTCAGCCCCACTTCCAGGAGGGCTCTGCAGTATAAAGCTTATAAAGCCTTATACTACAGAGCCCACAGCACGTGTAATCATGTAACTGCTAGGATTTTTAGTGGTTACACAGTTACATTTTTAAATTACTTTTTACATTCCTAGTATGGGCCTGGAACGGGGTGGATGTGGATGTGCATGTGCCTGCACATGGTATTGAAACTAAGCATGAGACAAATGAAGTAATTACAGTTTCCTGAACTCAACAAGACCTCTGACCATTTTTAACAATAAATGTGCCCTGGTATCTACTACAGTCTTGCCACACAGTACAGCCCATGTTGAACAGAAGTTTAAAGATGGGTGTGAGGAAACTGGCAGTGAGCTCTGGATCTTCCAGAGGAACCTCTTCCTCAGGAAATGAAGATAACTATGGAGCCGTGGGAATTCAGCTTCCTGACCTTTATCTGAATGTATCTCACTAACAGGAATTACTAACAATCCAACTGAATAATGTACCATTGTATGGAAAACTGTTTTGAAAAGTGTTTTTGTTTTGTACAAAACTTCCCGTACCCATGCATTTAAGAGTGGGTTTTATCCCTGACTATGTCTATGGTTTGTAAGTAAGGCTGCTAGTGTACTGGTGGAGTAGTTCAGATGCAATTTTGCATGGGATTGTGTACACACAGCACACACACACAAATCAGGCAATTAACTCCTGAGACCTTAATATCTTATTTCATTTTGCATTAATGACTTCAAGTAGAGTTGAGAGTTCTCAGCACCTTGCAGAATGGCTCCAGGCACCAGTTCAGCAAAGTATTTAAGCACATGTTTAACTTTAAACATGTTTTTATGTCCCAGTGAAGTCATGACAGAATCAGGGCTTAAATACAGTAATTTGCCTCAAGCCACATAGCCAGTAAGTAGCAGCCAGGAACACTGTCTTTCAATCTTCTGCTATAACCACTAGACATTATTTAAGAGGAATCCTAAAATAAAATCCATCATATAAATATCCTAAAATTGTTCCGTCAGAATAAGAATATTATTTGCCAGATCCTCAGAGAGTGTATACTGGAGTAACTCCATTGACTTCAATGAAGCTATGTTGATTTACACCAGCTGAGGATCTGACCCCAAATGCCTAACATCAAAGGCACTGATTGCATGGTTGCTTCTGGGCTGCAGTACATACAGGGGAAAATTAGTGGGTGCAGAGCTCCCACTGGTGCCAAGCTCTGCCCCCTCTCCCCACACCTCTCACACACTGATGGCCCCGGGCTTACCAACTCCACCCTGTCCTTCCCAGTGCTTCCAGAGTGCCTTGAACAGCTGATTTGCAGCATTCAAGCTCTGGGAGGGAAGAGGAGGTGTGGGGATGGGGCATGCTTGGGGGAGGAGGCAGGGCCAGGGCTTAGGAGAAAGGGTGGCATGGGGAAGGGCCTGGGGCAAAGGGGGTCAAGTATCCCCAGCAAAATGAGAACTCAGAGCCTACCTAAAAGACAACTTTTTTTAAACTAATCTGAACTTTTTATTAATAAGGAGGCCTTAAGATCTATGAATGTGAGCATGAACAAAAAACTGGCACAACTTCTTTAGGTGTATTTCTGATTAAAATGGATACATATTGCGTTATACATTCTCTTGCTCATTCTTTCAAAGTCACATGAGATTTGATATTTTATTAAAAAATGCTGTAATACTAGCTCCTTGTATCCAGAACTTACCTTTTCCCCAGAGTGTGACACATTGTTGTTCATGGGTCTGACATATGCCATTATAACAATACCCATCTACTCTGTAGCATGGATGTCCATCATGTAAATATACATTAGCTGGGCAGTGAGGACTGGCTCCAGTGCAGAACTCTGGCAGATCACAGGAGTTACTTGAGTCTCTGCAAGAAATCCCTGCTGGCTTCAACTGAAGGAAGAAAAAAGCTGTTGTAATTCCAATCAATAAAAGATACAAAGCAGGATAATTTATGCTACACAGTAATGTTTGGGTAGCTCTGCATCAATTGACCATTAAGCACAATATAAAAACAATAGAGTACGTAATATATATTTACCTGATATATTGTGTAAAGGTTGTTGACAGAAATCTAGAGTACGACTTTGCTCCTGGATGAAAATGTATGGATCAGGTGGTACACCTCAGAATAAAACCTGACCTTTAAGTAACACTGGTTTGGTTTTTAAATGGACAGAAGAGGAAATGCAAATGAGAGCATGACATATGCAAATGAGCGCTCCATTTGAATGTCCTCTTGTGGAAGAGTCTTGTAGTTTAGACATAATCATATTCTGTCTTTGGGGAATGCATATGGGGATGGTTAGCCATGCAAGCACTAAATAATGTCCTAAAGATGGGTGCAAGTTTCCGTGGCACCTAGGCAGCTCTTTAGGGCTCTACTCTGTGGATACACAGTGAATCAGGATTTGGTCTTGTGTTATTTAATTTACAAAGATGAAATTGACTCTGGGAAAACATAATGAATTTTAAGAAAGACAATATCCTGGTATCACCTAAAATAGTACTGGTTTTATTGGGTGGGAGAGCCATGAAAAGATAAAGAGCTAGCATCACATTTCAAGGAGTTTTTAAAAATTGCTTCCATAGACATAAAAGTATGTCATGTTTAATGGAAAAGGGCCATGAAAAGATAAAGAGCTAGCATCACTTTCCAAGGAGTTTTTTAAAATTGCTTCCATAGACATAGAAGTATGTCGTGTTTAATGGAAAAGGACAACTGTATATGTGGATCAAATGTGAGGCTGAAAATATTTTCAGTGGTTCACTATTGATATTGGGTCTACATTACATGCTCAAGATGACTGTAATGACATAACTATCAACAGAGGCCTGCAAATCCACGAATATCCACTTTACATCCATGGGTAATTACATCCATGGATGTGGACGTGCATATCCATAGCTCATTTTTGCAGATATGGATGTGGATGCAGATACAAATTTTGTATTTAGAACGCTGAATATTTGCAAATATCCACTTTATACCTGCAGGTATCCACATGCATGGATGTCAATGCGGATCTCTACGGTTCATTTTTGTGTATACAGATGTGGATGAAGATACAAATTTTATATCTGTGCAGGGCTCTAACTACCGAGTCAGCAAATTAACCACATATGATTACATGAACTGGCCTTAATTAACAGAATTAACTCAGGAGCAGATTATCCCTATTTGGATGTGGATTCTTCCCCTTTCCTGCATACTGAACTGGGTGGCCTTTGTATCATAACAGATGTTTCACGACCTTCCCCCCATTCTCTTCAGAGTTGAAAGCAGTCAGCAACTGCATAGCTAGCCATTCTGAGTACTTACTTATCAACAGCTTGACAATGGTTATGCACTGGAGCACTAAATTTTTAACTGCATCCACAAGGTATTCTAGGCAACAAACATACTGACTCTGATAAACTGTACGTGTTAGAAAAGCATCTAAACAGGCTTAAAACAGTGCCTGCTAGCTTCCGTGAAACCCTGCCTAGATACTTTACTAGCTCTTATCCAAAAGCTGTTTTGAGGCCTTAGGAATGTTACTGTCTGTGGCAGCCCTGTCTGGCTGTTCATAAACGTAGCCACAAGCCTGAAGATCTACTGTCACTTGGGACTTGTCAACAAAAAAGTTTGTTTTAAAGAATTAACATTCATCTTCTTTAAGAACCCCTCCAGACAGGGCATATGAAGCATGTCTAGTGTATCTTGACTGCTTGCCATGGCATAGCACCCAGAAATGTCTGCAGAAATTTGCATGTAGAAGTTCATATACATTCAGGGTGTATGAGTGAGTGGAAACAGCCACCAATACTGCAGGCACAAATTAATATTGTCCCTATTGATTTGGCCTAGTACCTTCAACTGCTGTTTCTGGTAGATAGTTTTTTAACTACTTACATGAAACACCACAAGTGTCTTAATGCTTAATTATACTAATTTGTTTGTTCTGCCTCCTTGTTCACTAATCTGCAGTTAAGATGATTATGGAATTCTGCCATCTCACAGAAATAAGAAACCTTTCTATAAATTTACCTTACAGTCTTCACAGCAAAGTCCATGTGCACACACTGCTTCTGATTTCAAAGTGCAGGTAGTAGCGTTACAGCAACGATTTGTACATTCCTTGAAAGGGAGTGAATTAACATTGAACAACTTTAAATCAAAAGTCTTTCTAAGAGGCATGCTCTAGAGCTCAAACAAGTTATGGGTTTGTACAGGAAATACTATGAAATTACATGTAAAAGGTCAAAGAAGGTGACCTTTTGGCCTTTACATTTGTGACCCTATAAGTAACTGTAGTAAACTTCCAAGGGCCATAGAGCCATGCCTAAATATTAATATGTACAGTATAAGCATGTAAGATTCACCCAAGGTTTTAGTTCCACTGAAATAAATGGAGTTACACTACAGGCAGTCCCCGAGTTACGTGGATCCGACTTACGTCGGATCCCTACATACGAACGGGGCTTTTCTCGCCCCGGAGGACGAGGGCGGCAGGACCGCCCAGATGCGCCATGGTCCCGCCGCCCGTGTCCTCCGCGGCGAGAAAAGCTGCTCCGCGTCTCCCTGGTCTGCTGAGGGAGGAAGGGGGCTAGCTCAGCGTCTCCCTAGTCTGCTGGGGGGAAGCACCCCCCACACCGCTGGAGGTGGCGACAGTGGGGGAGGCACCCCGCACTAGCTGCACCCCC